GAATGTCTATATCAACAAAATTTGAATGCAAAACGATTGCTTTATAAGATAATATTATACCTGATGGATTATTATTTTGTAATAATAAATTTCTATCATATTCTAATTGATTAAGATAAATAGAAATTTGATGTGCTATTTGTTCAAGTGTTGAATTTTCATTCAATGGAATCAAATCTTGTAATTTATTATGAAATAATTCAAGTTGATTTTGATGATATTGTTGCCATGCACGATTAGCTTCATTTAATTGAGCACATTGATTTGTAACAAGAGCAAGATTAGTTTTTAATTGTTCAATTTCTTCATTGTCTTGTTTCATATTGGAAGATTGAACATGTGAAATTATATTTAATGGACTCTAAAAAAAAAGGAAAGATATTAAAATAGAATAAATATAAAACTAACTTCTTCAATTGAAGAATCATGAGTTCGTTGGATATGATCATTTGATAATTGTAAATCTATAAATGAATAATAGATAGAGATAGTGTGTTTTTGTTTTTCTTTGTAAAAGTTAATAAACTTACTATTTTCTTGTTGAGAATCAAGAGGAAAAGATTGATTTTTTAATTCATTTAATTGATTAGTTAAATTATCATTATCTTTTATAAGTAAATTATTTTTTTGTTGAATTTCATCATATTTTTTTGTAAGTTGTATATTTTCTTGTGTAATTAATTGAAAATTATTTTTTAATGAATCAATTAAATATTGATCTTCGTTTAATTGTTGTTCTAAACATTGAATTTCTTCTTGAAGATTTAAAATTTGGTTATTTTGTTCTGGGTTCAATAGTGATTTTTCTGATACATCAATGTTTGTTGTTGTTGTTGTAGTTTCTAGATTTAATAAATATTTACATAATACCATTGAAAGTACAACACAGAGATGTTCATCGCGCCGCTGCCGCCGTGGCGGTGGCGGCGCGGCAGCGGCAGATTTTTTCCAAAAAACTATCGCGGCGCGGAAGAGATTTTTATTTTGCCGTCGCGGCGGCGGCAGCTTTTTAGGAAAAAATTTCAAAAATTCATGAATTTGCATAGAATCTGCATGTTTATGTATGCTATACTGTAAGACTTAGCGAATCTGATCGATTAGCGGCATCAGTTCTATTTCAAACCAGTAAAAGCCTTGAAAATCAAAACATTTTTTCGACTACCAGCGCGGCAGCGGCGCGGTAGCTTTTTTTAACAGGCCATCGCATCGCGGAAGCAGCGCGGCAGCTTTGTTTGATTTTGGCCGCGGCGCGGCAGCGGCAGATTTTGAGCCGCGATGGACATCTCTGGTACAACATAGATTAGTTGAAAGTCTTCACTCATTAGAAAACTTCTAATTTCAAAACAAGATAATACTCTGTTAGCGTCAGTAGATGGTGCTTACTGCCGCTAAACGTTTGTCTTATGTTATCTATTTTTTGAATCTCTAATTTGATTTGTTACGTAATCTCTCAACTATGATTCATCTCGTGATTATCTTTTTGTCTTTCGTTATTGCGCAGTTGTTGATGTTCTATCGTATCGATCTCTCGATACTCAATATATTCTATATATGACACGACGACAAAGTCGATTATTAAAACATGTTTAGCTCTCCATTTTTGGCAGACTAAATATTAGTTCTACCATTGCTACATAATCCCCAAAACGAGAGCTAACATACTCCGATATAGAGATTTCATTTTGTCAAGGGTTAAGCAAAAAGAACAATAAAATTTTAATACAGATGGTATTACTTCTAAATCTCATCGTTTTATTTAGATATAAAAATTCTATCTCCAGTCTAAACATTCGTGCGCAATTTTAATTGATAATACTAAAAGAAGAACAACGAACTACCTAAGGTACGGTCTAATAGAACTGTTGAAGTTGGAGTCCATCGGGTTAGTTTCGAATCCGGATCCAAAAATATTAGACTCAATGGGTTTTAGTTCAGGTATAGGAGTAGTCTTTTAGGCCCTCTCTATCTCATAAAGCTACCTTAACAACATCTTTTTCCATCAGAGGCTTTATCAGACTTCATTTTGCATCTAAAGTATTCTTCATAATTGTATTGAAAATCAATTTTACCTGATGGGATATTTATCTTCATACGATTATTTTGTTCATCAAGTTTTGTAGCAATAATTTGAAGAATTTGATCAAAATCTAAATTCTTATGAAAATCTAAATGATCTTTAAATTTATTTTTTAATAAATCTATTTGATTATCATAAAATTGTTGCCATGCTCGATTTGCATTATCTAATTGTATACATTGATTTTCTAATAAAATATAATCTTGTTGAAGTTGATCATCTAAATTAACAAAAAAAAAAAAAAAAATTCAACAAATTAAATTCAATAAAAACAAACCATCTATTGAATTTGTTGATCTTTTTAATAATAATTCTTTATTATGTTCTTTTAATTGTTCACATTGTCGATCAACATCAATCAATTGTTGATTTATATATTCAAGATCTTTTGTCAATGAAGTTTCTATTTCTTTCAAGAGAACATTATCTTTTACTAAATTATTTATATGAAAAATGATATCTTCAATAGAAGTGTCCTTTGAAAGTGATAATATATTTTGTAAATTTTCCAAAATACGATTCATATCATCAATTGTATTAAGAGGCTAAATACGAAAAAAAAAAGACGAATTGAATAATCTATAATAACAAAAAAAACTAAATAATTGAATAAACCTTTTCAGTTTGTTGTATATCAAGTTCTTGATTAATCATCATGGATTGATTTTCAAGTTGATTAGTCAAAAATTGTTTTTCACTATCAAGTTGTTCGCATTGTTCTTTCATTGCAAGTAATTCTTGATTAAGTTCATTTACTGTATTTGTATATGATTGACGAATTGATTCCATATTATTTTCTAATTCTATACAGCAAAAAAACAAAAGATATTGATAAATGCAAAGAAAATTTAAGAATTAGTTTAAGAAACCTAATTGAAGTTGATTATTTGCTTTTTCTAATGCTTGATAACGTTCATTAGATTGTTCTCGTTCTTTTTTTATTTCTTCAACAATTTGTTGAACAATTTCATTGATTGAAACATTATAATTAATGGGTATATAATCTTCTAGTTCATTTCGTAGAATTTCAATTAATACTTGTTCCCATGCAAGATTATTTTCAATGATAGAAGATACTTCTTCATTTTCATCATTCGAAATAGTTGTATCAAGTGGAATCTATATATAAATAATAATAAATCTATCATTTATGTGAAGAAAAAATCAAACAAACCTCATCGAATGGTTGTTTGGATGTTTCTAAAATATAAAAAACAAATTTAAGAGAGAACTGTTGTAAGTGATTAATGTTTTTTTAACTTCGAACTCTGTACATAAGGTACATTATAGTGATGTATGAAAAGTGCTCTTCTATCTCTCTACTATTTTATTGAAGTATAAGTTTTATCGAATAATTTATACCAACAAGGATACATCTTTCACGAGATCTTCTTTGAAAAGTAATAAAGCAAATGATGGTATATAGACTTAATTCTCTTTGGCCATAGATAGATCTACCTATAAGTAGAATTCTCTGTTCAAAACAATGTATCGTTCAGAAGGCATTGAATATTCAAAAACATGAGGTTTTCGTATTTTTCGAAATTCAAAATCTTATTAAGAATACATTGTTTTGAGCTGAAGCTTTCAGGAGATTCTACATAAGTCAATTCTGAGTGATTCTGACTGTCGCAATAGGTGAGAAAAACTATCATTACGTTACCAAATTACAGGGTATGAAAAATTCGTAGATTCATTTCTTTTATCAAGAAATATCTATTAGAGAAAAATTAAAATTTTCTAACAAGGTTTCATCAAAGGTTTACGAGACTGAGAAATCTATAAATTAAGTATACGATGTCAAGAATGCGATTATACTTTCTGATGCTGTGACCTTGAAAACCTCTAATCAAACTTTAGAAAGTATAATTTCTATTGAACAATATCCTTCCTGTGATAAACTCAAAATTCTGTATTACATAACAACGGATAACTTTTCCGTTGCTGGGTAATTAGTCATGTAATATGATTTTAATGTTACTAGGAATGGTTTCCTGATGAGTAATATATTACCAATGAATTGTTGTTGATTGAGACTATTTGTTTGTTTTTCTAATTCTTCTTTTAATATTAGTAATTCTTGATTAAGTTCATTAATTGTATTCGTATAAGATTGTTTGATTGTTTCAAGATTTGTTTCTGATTCTAGAAAGAAGAATATATTTCTATAGAAAATTGATCAAAAAAATAAATAAATAAACCTGATCGAAGTTCATCATTTGTTTTTTGTAATATTTCATATTGTTGATTAAAATCATCTCGATCTTTAGTAATTTGATCAATAATAAGTTGAGGTATTTGATCAAATGAAAGATTTTCATCTATTGTAAAATAATCATGAAGTTGATTTCTAAAATTTTGAATTTGATCTTGTTGAAATTGTT